GTCGGAATTGGCTCAAACTTTCTACGTAGCATAAGTACATCAATATGTATCAGAAAATGTAATAAAAATTGGGGGTGATTTTGGAGCCATTTCTTGGAAAAAAACCATGGGCTATAGTACAGGGTATTTTTTCAAAATTTAGAGTTTTTAAAAAATGGTCATAACTCGAAAAATTGAAGTCGGAATTGGCTTAAACTCTTTATGTAGCATAAGTACATCAATATGTATCAAAAAATGTAATAAAAATGGGGGGTGATTTTGGAGCCATTTTTTTGAAAAAACCATGGGCATAGTACAGGGTATTTTTCTGAAATTTGGAGTTTTTAAAAAATGGTCATAACTCAAAAAATTGAAGTTGGAATTGGCTTAAACTTTCTACATAGCATAAGTACATCAATATGTATCAGAAAATGTAATAAAAATTGAGGGTAATTTCTAAGCCATTTTTTGGAAAAACCATGGGCTATAGTACAGGGTATTTTTCCAAAATTGGACTTTTTAAAAAATGGTCATAACTCGAAAAATTGAAGTTGGAATCGGCTCAAACTTTCTACGTAGCATAAGTACATCAATATGCATCAGAAAATGTAATAAAAATTGGGGGTGATTTCAGAGCCATTTTTCAGAAAAAACCATTTACTCTAATATCTATGTCAATAATTAGTGTAAAAATTAGTGTGGGCATTGTTTTCTTGACTAAGCTCCTCCTACTAGATACGTTGTTAGGAATCGGTATAGCGTCTACTGTTAAAGCGATTGGATCTGAAGGACTGACATTTGGAGTGAGAGAAAGAGAAGAGAGAGAGAGAAAGTCAAAAAATTAATAGAGAAAGAGAGGGATGAAGGAAAAGTTGAAAGGAGTTTAAAAATTGTAAAATTAATTTTGATTCCCTTTCTATCTCTTCTCCATACAGCTGTACTTTACTCAAGTTCAAATGTTAGCTGCGCTCTTCTTATTACTCAATCTTTCATCGTCGCTGGTAATAAGTTCCATCCTTCGGTTTAAGATGAAGAGAGTGTATGGGATTTGTTTGTTTGTGTTCTACGTGATATTCTTAAAATTGTTGTCATACTTGCCGAGGCTAAAGTGTTCAATATCTCAATTCCAAACATTTTAGAACCTGTTTGAATGTACTCTCTCACTCAAATATTATGTATAGCTACAATAATGAATTGATTGATTATTATTATTACTAATGCTGTATTATAGTGTGTCTGCATATTAATTGTGATTATATAAATTGTGATTTATTATCATGATCAAAAGTATGCATTTAGATCTAAGTAATGAAATAAGCATGTACACACTGGATCTTCTGATTCTATATTTATGCCCTTTATACTGTAGATTGTATCTTTATTTTCTCTCAAAAATCAGATATTATAATTATTACTATAATTCAATCACTACTAATGTTATAAGAAATAGCTCAAAATAACTATAATAAAAAGTTTTAAACTCTACTCTATTAAAATGTAACTATAAAAAAACAATATCAGTCACCAGATTTATTAATTTGGCCATCTTCTATGAGTTTCACTTTAACTTGAAACCCAACAACTTTCTCAAGAACTTTCATAGCAGAATCAATAGCCTCAGTAGCTAGCTTTTCAATGTCACCATCCTTCATGTCATCTTTTGAACTATGATGTTTCTTGACTTGATTTGTTATAGCCCAAGTCAGCACTTGTGGATCAACTTTAGTGGCATTAATGACACGTTGAACAAGAAGTACGCCAGTGCAACCATCTGCATCTTCGATAACACCTTTAGATATAAAATTCCAACGATAATAGTAAGCATCGCAACGTATGAGTGCATTTGAATTCCAAATGATGAACATATCTGATGTCTCGTACTCTCCAATTGACGCATTACCTAGAACAGTATCAGCTCCAAGCTTAATTATACTAGTTATCCCATCAATGTAGTCCCCTCCGCTGAAAAATTCATGAAGGGATTTAGACAGACACTCGTCCAGTTCCTGTTTTGTAGAATCAGTGATGTTTATTTGACGATGTATCGCGACGATAGTCCCAGTCTGTATCTCTTGGTTTCCTTTCCTTCCTTGCAGTATGTTATCCATTTCCTTGTCCAAGCGCCCATTCACCATTTTCTCCAGTATCTCCAACTGCTGCTCAAGTTCTGCTTTCTCTCCATCTTTCTTTAACAGGTCTCTTGCTGCAGAGATAGTACTACCCATAACTATTGACTAGATCTAAGACTAGGCTTAATTAGACAAGAGAAAGAAAGCACGCCCAGCACAGACTTTTCTATTAATATTTCTATCTCAATATGAATGGTTGGGGCGAGCTAGTGCAATTTATAGTCACTGGGGCAAGCCCAGACTTGAGTAGGGTTGCCTTTTGATCTTATTACTTCCTCAACAATGGCTAATATTTCCTTCTTGGCCTTATCACTCCTAAAACTTTCCCACCCGGTAATCATTAGACACTTAAATAGGGTTGCCTTTTGATCTTAATATTTCCTCAACAATGGCTAATATTTCCTTCTTGGCCTTAGCGTAACCAGTCTTTGAACATTGACATACAAATTTAACCAATTCCTCCTCATCCTTATCGTTAAGATACCAAGAAGGCCCACTGAGTGTATCAAATTTTACTTGGCCTGTTACTCGATCACACAATGTAGACTTTGACACATTATACATCTCAGCAGCATGTCTGACTGATAAGCGACCATCATTGACTCCTTCGTATGCTAGCCAAAGTCTATCTGCTGTATACGCTTCTTTGTAAACCTGTGGTCTCTCAGGAGAGTCAGACTTGGATCATCGTACTGATGTAGATGTGGCACGTGAGGAACGAAAGGTACGGTCTGCTACAGCCATAATTCTAAAGGAAAGATAGTATAGTATCATTTTAATTGGTTGTTCATATCATACATGCATCATGCAAATTAGGATTTCAAACACACATTAAAGGCCACACGCCCACACCCTACAGGGTTCTATCCAGTGGGGGGGGGGGGGTGGGGGGGAAACTTCTCCCCCAAACTCTTCATCTTCCCCCCCAAAACTTCAAGCTTCCCCCCTGTGTACTTCTGTAACTGCATGCATGTACTGTACATGTACATACACATGTATGTACACAACCTTCCCCCCCTGGTCAACTGCTCTGGGCTTCCTCCCCAAACAAAAATTTCTAGATAGAACCCTGCCCTAGCTACCAAGTAACTAGTAACAAGCTAAAAAACTGAACTGAGTACAACTTAAATGCTACACACAAACTTACCTAATCTCTTGAAATACAGCAGCTTAAAGCCGTAAAGACACTTTTTTACACAGAGTAGTCAGCAAACAGACAGCACGAGGATCTACGATAATTAATTAATTAATAATTGTTATAGCCCCACCCATGTCCGACGGAGATAGCAGGTCTCAAGGTGCTCTTTTATTTCATTATACAGAGACTCTTAATGTTATCCAGGTGGTGATAAGTAACAGTTGGGTTTGTAGTAAAAAATGCACTGTACGGAATTATATGATTTTGTCCGATATTCCATAATATCAGAAAGGTACATTATTTTTAGTATAATTTCATGCAAGAGGCACATTGCTTTCTTTTTCAAGAAACCTATTACAAAGCTAAAAGTAATGCTTAGTTTGATACATAAGGAAATGCGGTTGCTCTTTTGCAGAGCTGGCAAGAGCCGTCCGAACATGGGTGGGGTCCGATAATTGATAGTTTACTCTATTGTTCCTGTTCATAATATTGTTCTTGGGCATGATGGCTGAAGAATAGTGAGCTATTATAACCAACTGTGCATTGTAATCTCTCTCTCTCTCTCTCACTGATGTTATTGTCCTTCTCTTCTCTTAGGATGAGAGTGAGTTAACTCACTCATGTGCCATCATAGCCTCCCAACACATGTACGGTGTATCGGACGAGTATCAAGAGACAGACTGCCCTTGTTTTGATATTACTATCATCATCTTGAAGTAAAATAGCACTGGTGTCATCTACTGACATCAGATTAAAGTAATCAATTTCAGTAATATCATCTCCAGTAACTTTAGGTGAGATCCACTGACCTACAGTAATTAATTAAATAAATCAATTAATTAAAGCTATTAATTTACCTGTAGCAATTCTAAAATAATGAATATAAATAGAATAGAATATGGTTCAATTATTACAAGGTAATCTTCTCCCTCAATCTTTACAGCAATCATACCACAATTATCCTTCTCCTTAGGACCATCCTTAGGATTAGTAGGTACAAATTTCCTCCATTTGAGAGTATCAACATTTAAACTGTAAAAACATTATCATCATAGCGACCATAATGACTACAACGTCCTCCATAATAGAATATCTCATTCCCAATAGCAACAGCTGCATAGTTAATGATACCCAGTGGAGGATCACCAGTGGTAGGTTTCTGCTCCCACCTACCGGTCGGAAGGTGAAGTACCTCCACAAATGATGAATCTTTTCTCTCTATCTCAATACTGTGTACTTTAGGATGGTCATCTCTCTCCCCACCCCAAATATAAAGACAGTCTCCTACTATTACTGTAGAATGACCAGTTCTCTTAGCAGGTTCATAGTCTATATAATAGCATAAACTATCAGTCAAACAATATTTATCATAAATTATAACCTATTAACCTTTTGCAGTGGGGCTGGGGACTGCTTTTGCTGACTTTAGAGCTGCCATTGTAGGAGTGGGAGGAGCGTAGTTGAAAATAGACACACCCACTGAGCCCCACCTAAAACAGCAATAGCTTCAAATCATCACAACAAAACTACAAAATTACTACACCAAGTCAAATGCTTTGAGTTAGTTCATTTATAATGTCAGACATTTTAGGACGCAATTCACAATTATCCATAACACAGCGTTGAACAAGACCCTTCAACCCAGCCCGTCTAATAGAATTAACATCCTGCCTTCTGTTACCAGGTTGTGGAATAGCACAAATACTCATCTCTATAAGGAGGACACCATAACTGAAGACATCCATTGCAGGAGAGTGCTTCCTTGGATTCCCTGCTTCAGGTGCTGAATAGACTCGGTTTCCGGGATTTTCTGTTGTAGCGATGAGATTCTGAAGGTTTGCCGACCCGTAGTCGGATACCTTAGCTCTCCAGCCAATACCCATGTGAGCAG